CCCATGACTGATTGAATTAACTCGTCAATTATCTCCCATTCGCGGGAGAAGGGTCTATTCTGAAAATTATTCACGACCGTGCGCTCTCGAGACTCAACTTGAACCGTGTGCGAATAGCCGCCGAACGGCTCGCTTCGGGATGCCGTTTGATTTTGGCGCGGCGTCCGACAGGCTCGATGGTTAATTCATGTAATCCGCAATTTGCGATTTTGCGTTCCGCTGCGCCGCCAAAACACGTTCGGCCGGGCTAATGAGCTACGTTTACGCGAGTCATCTCGGCGACGGGGATCTGTGAATTATACGGCGGGCGTATAATCGCCGCGCGAAATCTACTTGACTCCCATTAAAACGCTCTCGCGCTTTGTGGATTTTTAAACGCGAAATTTCATTGCGACTCTCGAATTCATCGAGCCGATAAAAGTTGAAAGCCGATTTCGGCAAAACGTGTCTGATCAGCGCACTCGATGTGCAGGTACGTTAGCGCGATTTATTTGGCGAATCTCCACTGTTATTCGCCCAGCTCGGCGCGTAATTGCAAATCGCGAAATGTAAATGAGGTAAGGTCTGTTTTGTGTCCCGTGACACACACAAAAAAGTGGACTTCGCGCCGGCTCGGTGTAAATAAATATCTGAACGCAGCGGCCCACTTTGGTTTGTCGGTTTTTTTTTCGAGGGGAGAGGACAAAGGATAACAGCCAATTATTGTAACAATGAACCAGCCGGCGAAAAAGACAGGTATCCCATTTCGCGAGTACGATCAAACGGATAGAGGCCATTTCGTCGACGCGATTTTTACGCGACGAGAATAACGAGCAATTATTTCGCGAAGGACGCGCCTCGCCGGAATTCCGCGAATTTCTAATAGAAACTTTTTGTTACGCTACAGCACCGACGCAAATTGTATTCTCGTTACTTTGGTAATTGAAACGAGACGTCGATATTTAATAGATTTACTTTGGAAGCTAATTGCAAGATGAAATATAAGCGCGTGTAATAATTGAGGGAAACGGAACGGGCGCAGATACACTTGCATTATTAGTCGCAATTTCAATCATTAATATTTTAAGTACAACAAAGTGTCGTGTAAATTGATAACAGGAACGAATTGAATTTATTATACTGATAAAATATCTTAATCCAAAAAAGATTACTTTACTCACGAAAATTATTCATTAGGTGGTTCCTAATAGCTTATTAACTTAAATTTGAAAAATAATAAATTAATTAAAATATGCATTGCTTTAATTTAAGTATTTATTAAATATCAAAGAATAGATAATTTTTAATTAAAAAAAATTATTTTAATTCTATAAAATGTTTACTAAGATGTAATTTTCACAGCGAAGAAAATTGGATTTCTTTATTTAACAAAAACAATTATTTCATTTAATAAATAGTGTTCTATATCCCATGAAATCTTTGTTTGAATGTAGAACATGTAATTATTTAAATTAATTTACTTAATATAATACATAGTTTTACTTGAAAATTTTATTTAAACAGAGTAAATGTTTACTTAAGTAAAAACAATTTTAAATAAATCTATTTAATTAGTTTAAACAAATTTTTTCAGTGTATTAAAGCCCTCTTCTTCCACTCCTCAAAAACAATGTTCTTTGGATTGTGAAGTTAATTGGCGTCGCATAGGAATTTCCGATACCGTTACATTTATTTAAGTGAATTTTTCATTCGTATCGTTATTCGATTAGGCCAGCGTCTGCTTTCGCCGCTATTTATTTAGGTCCCATTAGTGTTCTTTATTCATACTGTTCATTATTATCTTAATTAAATTTTATGTCACGGCGTGCCTATTTGTTATCGATAATGTATTATATTATTAATTAATTCGTCAAAATGGATGCAAAATGCGAGAGACGAGCCAGCAATTATTTAACAAATATGCCAGACAAATTTATCGAAATAAAATTGGCGTTAATTACGCGAGTCGACCGTGTGTTTCGCGTTATTAAGGACAGCCAGTGATCCCTGAACATTTTCAGAATGCATGCTCCATACTGGAAATGGGGTTTAACGACCGAGTATAATTCGCGATCCGATAACAGCACGCCACACACTCGAGCACAATAATAATTAAACGATCATTTTTGCAAATCGCTCGCTGCAAATTATAACCGAGCACTTCAGCGGTTCTCATATTTTTGGAAACACTTGTGTCTCGCAATTAGATTCTCCTTCCGTTCCAGTTTCATCGGGGGGGGGGGGGGGGAGTTCGCCTATTTGCGAAGATTCACCTGGCGTCTTCAGCCAAGTGAGACAATTTTAGGAATCTAGAGCGTTAGATTTCAAGCTGTAAGGTAGCCACAATTTAAATAATTCATTCGCGGTCCAATCCACTTCTAGATCTAAATTGGAGTTCGCGAATTGAACTTCTCCGGGTGCATTAATTGCAATTTATTTGTCCCGTAGTGTTTTTACGGTCCTGAATCTCGGTTCGCCCCTTTTAATTTTAAAACTTTCGTATCGCGAGATTTTTTGCTCGCCCCGGTACGTCCCGTCGGAACTCGAGAATCTTGTCCCTTTCATATCCCGACCGTCTTTCGATCCTCGCGTTACCGGAATCTCCCGCGAGTCCTGAACTTTCGTGTCCTCGGATCCTCGAATGTTTCGGTGTCTTTATTAGTCTTCGGAAGTTCCGTTACGCGGCACCGGAATCCTCGTTAGAATCCGAACCAGTTCGGAATTATCTTGGCGAAAAGGGACGAGCGGCCGCGCCAGGAAGGGGCGGGGCGGGGAGGGGGAAGCGCTCTTTATTAAAAATTCTTATTCAAAGTACGCCCGTAACACTAGCCCGTAAAAGAAATCCTGTCGATGCAGGGGGAGCTTTAATAAAGGAATCTTTAATGGTGACGGCGAAATTGCCGATAGTCCTGTCGCTCCTTCGGTAACGGGGATGAGTCGTTCAGCTTATTAAAAATCTTTTATTTACGACACTTTTATTTGCGACAATGGAAAGACCACCGCCTGTGAAAATTTCATGAGTACGACGGCGGCCGAGGACTTGCCATACGCGAGAATCTACCGCCAAGAGGACACGTTTGTTAAGGACAGACTTGCTAATCGATGACTGTAGGGGAACGTGGTGAGAAAAATAATGCTTGAGTAGGGACACGAGGATTCAAGATCGCAAAATTTTATTAAGCTCCAAGACGTAATATCCGCGATTCGAGATACGAGAGAAGTTTAGGAACTCAATCTAGTAACCCAGAAGGAGAGTCCAAGGATTTAAGGCAGATGTAACAGTAGACATAACAACGTGTGCTCGGAAAAGTAATCTAAGTCGCACGGAGTCGAAGGTTGAAAAATGTGCAAAATTTGCGATTTCAATGCCTGAAATTTAGCCTCTGGGATACAGACTGCAGTAACAAAAATCGCACGAACGTGCGATTGTTCCTGGAGGCAAAAATTCAAGAAAGCAAGAGGACATCGTACAACAGGAAATTAATGCCCGGGCGGCAGGACGGAGAGTAAAATCACCGGTTACGAAATCGAAGGGAATCAGGGAAGAAAAAAAATCCCCTTTCCGTGCGAACCACCTCGCGGAGGAGGCGAGGGCGGAGAGAGTTTCGGACGACTCGGAATCGACGTCACGCGATGTCTCTTTGATCTGCCGGCAAAACGAAAGTGGATTTACGTAGTGCCCTAGAAATTGATTTACGTGGAGAGGCTTTCTTTCCTCCTCGCGGGAACGTCGTCGAATCCTTGATCCGACGGACGAGAGGCTGTCGCTCGTAACGGGATCGCTCAACGAGGAGGGCGGGCGCGGAATTAGAAAATTGCGATAAAAATACAGTCCCCGCGGAAGGGAGAAAAAATTGGAGCCGAAGCTTGTTCGGGCTCGCCGGAAAGTGGGACGAGAGCAATGAAGCTGCAAAATTAATTGCTTTTACAAGACATCGGCGTAGCGATAAGAGTATAATAACGTGATTATCGCGAAGGTATTATTGTTATTAATATATTCCAATTACATATTATGCTATTATTATTACATACTCCAGTATTAATGTGTGTAAATCATTATTATACTTCAGCGTTGCATTTATTATCGCTATTATTGAGCTATTCTCTAATAATGAGTATTTTACGTTGCTATTACTATTAACGATATTATTGGTGCGGTGGCACACAATGGGAAGGCAGTGCAATAGCAACGACAAATTAACCAAGTCATTGCGACGGCGGCGGCGGCGTAGTCGACGATTTATTTTCGCGCACGGTTCAATGCTCCTGATTCTTCCCTACTTCGAGTGTTTGTCGAGGAGCGCTCGTTCTCTCGACTTTTATCTTTACGGCGGAACGAATGCTCTCAAGAACAGCCATCGATATTCCCGTCCCGGAAATATCGGGCTTGTTCTTGAGTGCGACGTGTTTCAGGACGATCGGGCCGCCCCTTTCCTCGCGATAAATTACCGCTTCCTGAAAAATATCCCGCCCGCTGCCTCTTTTTCTCGTCAATTTTCAAATTTCTCACTCGATAGATGCGTCCCCTCATCGCGCGTCCCAAGAAATCGCCGAAAGTATTATCGTCTCGACAAAAAAGTTGCACCTCGGATGAAAACGTTGTTTTCTGACGGACCGAGGAAAGAAGAAGACGAAGTGAAATAAAAGACGAAGCTTCGCATCCAGAAATGCTTCCAGCTCTGAATTTTCTCCCTTTAATATTTTTCGCGATGTAAATTCACCATTGCTCGTCACTTATCGGCGAAGGAAGGTGAAACCACGCTCCCTTTAAAAGAGAAAACGATAATTTTGTAAAATTCTCAACGCTCTCCTTGGCCTTTGAGAGCACACGTTTGCACACACTTATCTTTATAAAATCAATTCCTAAAATAGTGAGCTAACTAAGCGAGGCCCAGCGTGTCGCATCTCTCAACACCCTCTTAACACCGTTGCCCATTTATTTTCAACACATAACCCAGAAAGACAAGCGACGGAAATCTCCCGCTCGTAACCATAATACGTTTGCGTTTCTTCTGTCTCAGGTACAAGGATAACAGGGCTTACCCTTGGCCGGGTGGCGAGAGCCACTTTATCCTGTATCCCGAGAGCGCGAATCAAACGATCTACACGCAGGAGATGAGAGCCTCGGATGCGGGACGGTACTCGTGCCAGGCACGTAACGACACAACCACTTTGGAGGGCGACATCACTCTCTCTGTACTCGGTAAGTAGGATATCCTAGGATAAACCTGATGGGATTCATCCATCAGCCTATATTAGAAGCTCAAAGGAGATCCTTAGCGTACCTCCATTCGACATTTAATAGAAATGCGTCACGTAGAACGAGAACAAGATAACGATGAATAGGAAGATCGAGATCAAAGGAGCCATTCGCGGAGAGTGATTGAAATATTATAATGCACGGAGGGTCCCTCTGCTATCGCTCTATAGTTTGCATACGCAATAGCAGCCGAATATCTTAATTAAAAATCGTGAATTTCTACCACGTTTATCTAATCGACGTGATAAATAATCGCCACAATTGGATTCATATAATTGGGTCGCGGCGTAAACTTTCCTTTCATTTATTTTGCTACATATTTAGCGTTCATAAAACTTTTATATTATTCAAACGATTAAATTAAATAGACAAGACATACATTTAATTAAACGGAACAATATGTCTAGAGGATTAATTTGTTTTAGTTTGTTTGGGAAAAAAAGTGTGTCTTTCTAAAATTTCTTTCCACGTGCACCGTCGAGTTTCGAGAGATGTTCCGCGATTACATTTACAACGAGAGAAGTAATCGGATTTTTTTAAACGTTCGCAATAACAACAACCGAAAGAGGAATGCATCAATCGGAAAACTGCGCGCGTTCGATTTGATCCGCTGTCGCTGCGATCGGGGAAAAAAAAGAGCACAAAATTCGGATGATCACACGAAGATCCGCCTTTGACGCTCCCATTCAAAATAAAAGGGGGAAGCGCGCGGGGGCGGGTACTGCCCGACCAGGGACGAGTTGTTGCAAAAAGCGTTGCAAAACGTCAATCGCTATCGCCGACAAAACGATACTCGCTTTCGATATCCGCGTCAAAGAGCCTCGTCATCATGATACTGTCATGTCGAGATCCCGCCGGGATACAATATCGGCTCGTATCGGGAGAGGAGGCCCCCCTGCGATTCTTTCCGGATCTTTTTCAGCGCCCGGAAACCTTTGTTATTCCGGACAAATCTTTCTTACCGATGTCTTACACGATACGTATTTCTCGTCGCACAATACGAATTCGGATAAAAGGTCTAAATCAGGGTATCGAGATCTAAATGGAGGCTGGACGTTGAGTTTATTTTCTAAGCAACGTGTAATCGCCCGTATTTGTTCTTTATTTTTGTTCATTTTTCAATCTTCGGGGTATAAAGAAAACGTATGGATCGGTACGAGCGATGGATTTGAGATATTAAAGATAACGCGAGATAGCACGAAATACTGGGAAGTAAATTATCAAAAATGATCTGTTTGCTTTTTCCAAGTAAAAATATGCCGTAGCTCTTCTTATCGGCGGTGGATCGATAATCGCGCCTTCCGAAAGTCATCGTCGTAGCGCCGATCCTCTCGCGATAACGCGAGATTACGCAGCCGATGTTCATCGAAACGCCCGCGAACGCCCCGACTCGAAATTTCAATTAAATCCCCCTGTCGGATCTGATCAGTTCCGGCCAGTCAGTCGCTTTTCCGGCGTGTGTTTTCGGTCCGGCAGGCGGAGCGGGGGAAAACCCTTTAAAAGTGTTGTATTATCGAGCCACCTCGATTTTCATGATATCGGAACAGCGTTTCCCGGCTGGAGACTCGTATTTCGGGTGGTAGCCGTGAAATTTTTGGCAAATTCGGGGGACGGGGAGACATTCACCAAGTACACATTTATTAAAGTGATCAAGTGTTGATGAATATTACAACGTCCGCTAATTTGCTTCTTAATTGTCCTTGATGTTCACAGTATTCATGAATTCTGTTAAATACTCGCATGCACCATAAAGTTCAAGATATGGGAAATATAAATTTTACTGATTAAAATTAAAAATTCTCACGTTGCCCCGCAATCTGTCTCTCTTCGTACCTTTGCGATGAATTTAAATATGAAACATTTAGACATTAACATCCTGTCACGGCTCTTAGTACTTTATTCCTTCGAATTTGTGACTATCACATTTGAGCCATGCGAATCTTATTAATTTGTTAATTTAATTACATCTACAAATTTATGTATCGCTAAAGTATGAGATGAATCTATATATTTTTCGGAGATTTTAAATTTTTGATTTCTTTATGAAAAATGATTTTTATAAACGTGGAAGTAGGTGAGCGAGAAATCCAGGATTGCCCCCCGACTTTGCTGCTGCAAGACAAAGTTAAGTTTCGTCGGATAATGCAATCGCGGAAAATCGTCGCGGTGGCATGTTGGAATTCAGTTGGAAAACGTCGTTTTTGGAATATTTCGCCGGGGCGTCTTTTCGCGGACGACGAGGGCGAATTATCGAGTTAATATTCATCGGAGAAGCGACCGCGCTTCCGGCCGTCTAACGGCTCCTAAACCCCTCGATTTAGCACGCATTCGTGCACCGTCGCCGCCGTTCTTCCTCGTCCTGTCTGTCGATATAACCAACTTCCAGCTCGCCCAGCAATTTGCCGGAAGTCGTCCGAGAGAATTCCGAACCGGTGAAGTTTAACCCTTTGTGCACACGTTAAAGTTCGCCGCTCAATTCTTTATCTCTTCACTCTGTTCGCCGTCGAAATTTTTTTTTAATCTCAAAAATGATCTCACAGATTAGAAAAAGCAGAAGTTCGAAGCGCATGACGTTCAAGTATTTTCTAGTTTAAGTAATTTATCGCATATATTCAGTCGATACTTTTGTGAAATTGCATATTTTCGAAATATTTGCCTGTTAAGATTAAAAAGACTCGCCCTGTATATCTTCTTATAATTGCTGCTAATTAAAAAAAAATCACGCAAGTACCGTTATAAGTTTTTTTCCGTTTTATATCGATTCTGTAAATCTTGTATATTTGCATTGGCTTTGTACATTTGTCTCGGACGTATTTTGCGTAAGACGAAGAGAGAGATCGTGTAACGCGAGCACAAAGTCGTCGGTGAAAAATCGATTCACTGAAGAATTGGATAGATTTAACAGTTTTAACGTAAGATGATCCGTTCCATATTTTAATTCAGAGAATTATATATCTTTGTATATCGCTGCTAATTAAAAAAATCACGCATATACCGTTATAAGTTTTTTTTCCGTTTTATATCGATTCTGTGAATCTTGTATATTTGTATTTGCTTTGTACATTTGTCTCGGACGGACTTTTTCGCAAAATGAAGAGAGAGAGAGAGAGAGAGAGATCGTGTAACGCGAGCACAAGGATAATCGAGAGTATAAGACGCTTTTTCTCGCGTGCCTCGGGGACGGATTAATGAATAAATTCCTTACACAAGCTGAGAAAGCAATCGCTTCGCAGAAAATTGCCAGCCAGGAAAATTGGTACGACCCGAACCCTCTCTCTCTCTCTCTCTCTCTCTCTCTCTTTCTCTATCTTTATCTTGTGCATTACGCGATCAAGCTAGGTGCGTAGGTAGAAGATTCTGCGAACGGCCAATCGAATCTCCTTCGTGGAAGAGTTCGCTCGTCGCGGTATGCAACGCTCCGCATCTGTTCGCCGATGACGCGCCGCAGATGCGCCGCAGTTTGACTTTCGGGAGAGCGAATTATCCCCGTGGAGGTCCACAATTGCGAGAGGGAATCGCGGATATTCTTTACGATCGCCAATCTCTTTGCGCTCTCCCGAGAAATTGAAGGTCAGCTTTCAACCTTGTCTTCATCTCGTAAAGAGATTTCCTTGGCGCGCAAAATGTTTGACAATTTTTAACGTACCCTAGGAAGATGTGGTTTTATCATTTCTACTTTATTTCCCCATTATATTCAATACAAATTTACTTATTGCCAAAATTTGTGACAGATTGCAAATAACTCTGGGAGTTAATGAAAAAAATTTAATACATATATTATCTGCGTAGAAAAGTAAGATCGGATTAAATAGAATGATTGCACGAGGACTAGGAAAGACATTCGTGTGCACTTTTTAAAGAACGCCATTCCTTTATTCGGAATGGATTTCGTTCGGTGTGGTTTTTTTTTATAGCGGCCAATCGATGAATCATTCGTTAGCGAGGCGTCGACGGAACGTTAACAATTGTCTTAATCGCGCCTCGCGTTGGCTTATCAGCCGGTTCTTGGGACAGCAAGCGGAGCGTATCAGGGTTATCATTGTAGCGACTATTTTGTCTGGCCCGTTTCACGAGGTGGGTGCCGTTAAAGGCGTCGTTAAGTATACGGGAACGCGTTCGGGGAAACTTTAATCGGGGTTCCTCGAAACAAAGGCAGTGCCGCGTGGCTTGACGTGTTCGTGCTCCGACCGCATCAGCGGGCGTAAGTGCAACGGATTACTGTCGCCTCGACGCGTCGTCCCTCATTGCGAAAGCGGCGCTCGCGATTGCACGGCACTTGAACGAGTTTTCCGATTCACTTTCCATCAACGGGATTTTTAAATTGCGCGGACATTTCGGTATTCAGGGCTTTCCTAATCCCGCGGGAAAGTTTGATAAATTTTTAACGGAACGTCAAATATTTGTCTCGATTATTAAATAGCTTAATACTTTAATCTTTGTGCATTCAAATTTAATGGGCTCTTAGGAATTTCTAATCTCACGTAAAAGGCAACATTACTTGGGGCCCAGTTTCACCAACGTTGTTTAACTTTAAGCTTGTCTTAATTCGTTCTTTGTCTCTTTCTAACTGTTACTTTAGAGAGAGACACACGTGAATTAAACCTACAATAGGATTAAAGTTAAGCGACGTTTGGTGAAACCGGGCCTTATACTTTGAACGCGATTTTGTCTTTTCATAGTTTTGGAATACACGTGTACAGTCTGTTCATCAATGTCTGCGCCTCGGTTTTACTAGGATTCACATTTTCATAATCTTTTTTCCCGTTTGTACATCGATGAGTTTCAGGCTGCAGTTGGCACAGCTTCTATAGAAGTCTGTGGTTGCACATACAGTCTGAAACTCGGTGATTTGCTCTCTAAACGTCAATCAGTGGATTATCACTGAAAACAGTGAATATAGTCACTGATTTACTGCAATTTTCAGTAGTATATTTATAACTGCA